TTTTTGCGCTGTTTGATAGCCCAAAATTTTCCCGAAAAATATTTTCCCTCCCCACCCGCCACGTCAGCATTTTCTTGATTTTCCTTGAAAATATTTTCCCAACATTTGTTGGGAAAATATTTTCCAACCGGTTGAAACAATTTTTTTTTTTGGAAATTAAAACAAATATCATAATCAATTGTGAAATTTTTTTTCACTTTAATGGACAATTTTCACGTAAAATAAAGTCAAACGAATACTAAATTTTGATTAAAAAAATGATTTTTTAGGAAACAATTTTTTTTCGTTTTTTTTTTACTTTTTGGCAATGGAAACAAATTTTATAACCAATTGTGGAAAAAAAAATCACTTTAATGGACAATTTCCATTTAAAACAAAGCCAAACTTATAGAAAATTTACAAATTTTTCGGGGTGGAAAATTATACCAATCAAACACACTTGAAATCATTTTCCCTACAAAACATTTTCTAGGTAAATCTTTTTCCTGTAAAACATTTTTTTTCTACCAATTTTCCACCATTTCAATCAAACGCACCCTAAGAGTTGCTAACTTTAAAATGTATGTAATACTTGCTAATATATTAAGGGGGTGTTTGTTTTTTATTTGAGAATTGATTCTCAAATCAATTCTCATTTTCAACCACACATTTTTCAATAAAATAATATTTTCCATCATATCAATAATATTTTCTTATTTTTCAAACATACATTTACCATCATATCACTATTCAAAAATCAATTATTCCCCAAAAAATCCCTACCAAACAAGCTCTAACATAAATTTGTTCTATTTTTGTTGAATAATCAAATTCAGCCTATGTTTGGCTTCTATTTTTTTCAACCATTCATTTTTTTATAAAACAATTTTACATGTAAATCCAAATTTTTTTCTTATTTTTTACCACATATTTTCTAAAAAATTACTATTTAAACATACATTATTCCCAAAAATGGGCTCAATAAAATAAAATGTTATGAAACAATTTTCAAAATTTCAAATCAAGCATGTTTCCGGTTTTTAGTTTTAAGAAATGATTTTCCAAAATGACAAATTAAACATCTTTTTAAAATTCTTAAAATAGACACTCAAAACCAAAAACGAAAATGAACTCAAAAATCAAAATCGAAAAACAAACCATACGGGCCTTGAATTTTTTATAAAACGAGGCTCAAGGAAGGACTTTATTCTTCCAAAGCACCTTGTAACGGACCTCCCGTTCGGCCCTTGAGGTT